AATTCTTCAAGACTGTTAGTGAAAAACCTCTTTCATTGCACCTGAAGGCAGAAGGCTAACTTAAAAGAAACAGGACAGGTTGCTTAACACTGAGTTCTCTCCCTCCAGTATCTGGCTAGCATCCCAGTACCTGCTGCCTGAGGTGACCACTTCATTTTCCTAATGGTTGGGTTGACGCATAGCTTAATCTTTCATAGACTAAAGGTCCTTTTATATGAAGCACAAGGTATTATCTTCTGTAGTAGGCAGAAGAGAGGAAGAGAAAGGTACAAACTAGATTCAAAACAGCAGGAAATACAAGTGGTTACAGTAGGAGTAGATGTTGGTAATGTTTGATGTTTCCAGGTAGAGACTAAAACATGGGGAATTCTTACCTGATTCCATTATTTTCCTTGAGAATTGCTATTCCTCCAATATCATTTAATTGAAACTTCACAGTAGGTCTCAATGGCAGATCTTGCCGTTCTGGTCAAAAGTCTCCCATACTTTTATCTTAACCCTGAAGATCAAGCTTTGATGAGAGATCTGAAATGTGAAGGACCTAAATAGGCAGTGTTTTCATGGCTCATTGTTAACAGTCATATTGACACCGAGCCCAGATTCAACTGAAATGACACAAAGGTATTTCTAAAGCATTACATTTAGCTGCTAGACAGGTATACTTGGTGTTGGGGAGTGGCTCCAAATTCAGGGATCTCCAAAATGCATTTCTCAGGCTATAATACCCATCCAATTTGATGAACACCCAGAAGCAACCTACTGCAAGGCAGACCCAGAAGAGAAAATGACTGAACACAGTTAGTCATCACTTTCAACAATAGGGACTATGTGTGGCAGAAACCCAATGCCAGCTCTGCCCCCACATTTAATCTTTTACAAATATAGAAAACTCCATGCATAACCATACACTAATTTGCTTTTTAAGTTTCCACTCCCATGTTTTCTTAACATTCCTTTTCCCACTATTTTTTTCTTTTCTAGCAAAATCACAGGACCCAACACTGCCCCATACAATATCAAGGGCACGTTTACTTGTTCCTCTGCTAATGCAATCTATGCCAACTTTTGCCATCAATAGCTCTCTGCATTCTACATAAGTCAAACAGGACTATCTCTATGAAAAGGAATTAATAGACATACAGTACACTGGATATCAGAAATTGCAATACACAGAAACTGTTTCAAATAACTTCAGTCTAAGAGGACATTTTTCACAAGATATGAAAGTTGCTGTTCTGGAGAAGAAAAGCTACATCAAATGAATCCAGAGGGAACCAACTGAGATACAATATATACACATGCTGGGCACCCGTCTCAATGGATGAAATATTGGTCAATATTTCTTAAGCCAGTACAAATGTAATACTTACTGTATGTTATCTACTGTTACTTTCCTTGCTAACTAACCAGGCCCACCTTTTCAGAACAAGGCTCAAAGGTGATGTTTGTCATTCTCTGCATTTCCATGTTATTCCTTTGTTGTTTCCTTTAATGGTTGCAACATAACTGAATACCAAACAGGGGCTTAAATAATTACTAGGTGTGAACTGTAGCCAAAAACCACTGTTCCTTTATCCTAGAGTCTTGCACAAATGTTTTACTGTGTAGTTTCTGTATTCTGACTCCTGTCTGAGGAAATGGACAATGTTCCATGAAAGCTTACATTAAAATATAACAGCATTTAAGGTACCACAACATCCTTTTTTGGGGGGGGTTGTTTTTGTGTATCTTGGCTTTGGATCCTTATAATGGGGAGAGCAACTTAAAGCCCTCCAAACACTGGACTACAACTCTCATAGTTTTGCCAATTATAAGGATTATTATTAATGCCAGATGGCAATGAGATCTCTAGATTCTCATATGTTTCCACTGGTGTTCTTTGGCTGACCCCATGCCTATATGCATAGCTTCTTTATATCCTCCAACACAAAAATGTGTTACCTATAAAGGGGGAGGGGAAAGGATCACAACACAAATTATATTCAAATTATTTATTTAACAAAATACCTTATCAAATTTGTTTAATAACATCTGGACAAGGAAGCATGAATGAAATTCTTCCGTGTACATTGCCAAGGAACGGGGTTGCAAAAATCGTGCCACAGTTTAGTGTTTGTTTTAAAAGGGGAGGGGGAGATACAGAATACAGCATTTTCCTGCTTTGTTAGTGAGCTTTTGAACAGTTGACCTTTTTGTAGAATACAATAAACCATGCTTGAACAAATGAATACCAATCCTTCTGGTTTGATATATTGTTACATAATAATAGATAACTCAATCAGTTAAAACATTTGCCTGTAATTGTTTAACATCAACTATTTGACATTTAACAGAGGATGCTTTGATGAGATTTTAATATATAGGCCAAAATATAGGTCAGAGCATAAAATAGGTCAGCATAATAAGTAACACTAGAACAGGCCTAACAAACTAGCAGGGATTTGGTGAGTCAACTACTCTGCAAGTTCCATTAATTCACATGGGCCTAGTCTAGTTGCAACTTATTTTAGCATAGCAAGTGGCAATTAGAAGAGTCTCACTTGAATCTATGGAGCTTACAGAAGAGTTGACTCACCAAATCCCCACTGATTTGATAGGCCTACTTTAGTGCAACTGACTATGCTAAGCAACAGGATTTTGGCTATAATGTACTAGGGCTAAGCCATGTTTCACTGATCTTTCTGTTCCTTTAATTTTTTTTATTATACTTAGTTTAATGTTTCTTTAGTGAAACACCCTGATAAAATATTAATGTGGAATTTCTATAAAACCACAGAAATGGAAGGGTACTATGCACCACCCTTAGTGCAGGAAACGGGAGCCAAATATCCCCAAGAGATGGCCGCCCTCCGTAGATTTCCAGGGAAGAGGCCCCAACGTTCCTCGGGTTATTGGATTGTACTGTCCAATCAGTTTTATCCTCATACAACCACAGAGCTGGAAAGCAGACCCAATTGCCTGTATCCTGAAGACGTATGACCTCAAGCACCCCAGCAGATGCTTATCCGGCCTCTGTTTAACAACCTCCACTTCAGAAAACTTCACCACTTTTCGAGTTCGCCAATCGGTTCCACCACCAAACATGCTTGCCATCAGGAAGTTCTTCCTAATGTTTTCTTAGAATCTCTTTTCTTCTCATTTGAACCTATTGGTTTGGGTTTTACCTTCTGGAACCACAGGAAACAGCTGGCGCCAACTTCCAGGTGACTGTTGTTCAACTCTTCGAAGGCAGCCTATCGTATCATGTCTCAAGCTGGCTTCCTATTCGAAAGAAGACAGGCAGAAAGCACCCTGTAGTTCCTCAAAGTATCGAGCAATGCTGGTATTTTTCAACTGCAGGCATTTCAGCAGGCAGATCAACCTCCAGAATGCCTCGCAGTTCTCAGGGATCCTAAGGAAGTGGCCATACACTGCTTCACCTCTTCAAAGGCTGATCATTCCTCCCTAATTGTTAGAAAGATTTTTTAAAAGTCCATCTCTGTCAGTTGTTACTCATTAGGTTTGATTTCCAGACTTTTTACCCTCTTGGCTGTGTTCTACTCAGCCCTACCCTTTCGAGGCATACGCCCACCCCCTTGCTTTTATGAACAATCTGACTCTCAAAGTAGGCAGACTGCAAAAGCTTTGCAAAATGAATGGAGGTTTTACACCAGCTCATGGTTTAAGACTGAGGCCTTCTGTTTGTTTACTTGGAAACAAGTCCTAATGAATATTATGGCAACTTGCATCCAATAAAACGTTTGTAACATTTGGCTGTGAGTATTGCAGTTTTATATATTTTTAAATGGCATCCTTGTTGCCTTCTGATTCCATACAAAACATGAAAACCCTATGTTGGCCAAGATCCTATTTGTTACATCTACAGGTATAAATTGGTATAAATCTTAGGGGCAAATTGCAGCAAACTGAGAAATTAGCATGGACATTTGCTGTTGCACGCCGTGCTGTGTGATCTGGTAAACAATAGCTAATGTCTATGCTAAATCTGTGGCAATTCTCTGACCATTAAAAAATGCAGTGAGATTGGGGCAGTGGGACATAGTAATAACCCCTTTTCTTCTTCTATACATCTTTCTAAACTTCTCACTACTAAAGCAGAGCCTAATTTGCATTACAAAATACTGAGTAGAGGACATGGATTACTGTAATCCACCCATTAGTTTTTTCCAGAGTCTGGAATTAATTCTGATCTTCAAATAGCGGAAGACACAAGGGAGGTGAAAATGGCTGGTGAAAGGTCCCTGGAAATTACATGCAAATTCTGGATCCAGGATAATCTCAAATCCCAGCACAATGGCCAAGACGCTAAGGGTTAGAGTATATAGATGTGTCTTTAGGAATAAACTGATTATGATTGGGAAGGAGAAGAGGCTCATATGCACTGGACTAAACCTGCCTCTTATACATGTCTTAAATAGGAAAATGCCAATGTGCATTCAAGCTGATTGTACGCACGCTCTGCCAGGCAAAAATGTGCTGCTTATCTACCACCCCATAGCGGTTAAAGCACTCACTGAGCGGTTTACAATTGAATTATGCAGGCTACACATTGCCCCCCTCTCATCAAGCTGGGTACTCAATTTACCAACCTTGGAAGGATGGAAGGATGAGTGAACCTCCAACCAGTTACCTGGGATTAAACCTGGGCTATGAGCAGAGTTTTGGCTGCGGTACTGCAGTTTAATCAGTGCACCATGAGCCTCTTTGAGGTGGCTGGATGGAATTTGGGGAGTTGTAATCAAGCATGTTTTGAGAGTCTTTGCTTACAAAAGGCTACTCTAGTATGACCTATCCAGGCATGTCCTAGGTAGAATGAAACACAAGTTGTCCTAGATCTCTCTAGTTCAAAGTTGTTTAGCAGTTTTTAAAAGATATTGCACTTTTTAAAAGAAAAGGACAACTCCATTACGGATGTTTTTACTGTACATCTTAAACTGAATATTGGAGGCAGAAGGGGAGCCTATTAATAACAGCTTTTAACCATCCATCCAGGGCAGGTAGCATCCAGCCACCCCATGGATGATGCAAAAATTATGTCAAATTTTAGACATTAATGCTAACATTGCACATCAGGGGGTTTGCTTCTGTGACAGAATGTACAGAAAAAACACTCCTCACTTTTGGGAAGTATTTAACAGCTCCAACATTTTGCAAGCATTTTGGCTAGCAGATCAATATCTGGAATGGCGCGTAGTCCTCAGGGACTGTAGGGAAGTGGCCCTATAGTGCTTCACATTTTGGAAGTCTGAACATCTCTCCATAACCATTCGGAGAATTTTTAAAAGCACACCACAAAAAAGATGGCAAACAAGTTATCATACGTAGACACTTTGTTGTCTAGTGTGATATTAAAGCAAATATAGAACAACAACAAAATCCGGAGAGTATATCATAAGGCTGCTATGGCAGAACAGCAATATAAATGGGTAGATCCTGTAGAGAGGTTACGTTCACCCCACAGGGGTTACCAGTAGCTCGAGCAAAACAGGATTTCTGAAAGCACCTAAGTGCTGCCGAACATTTAGACCTGGTAGAATATCTTCCATCTTCTTTTCATTGATGTTTCTTCTCGGATTTTCTAAGTTTCATCAGGAGAGACTGCTATTCTCTGTTGACAAGAAGATCAATATATTTTTAAGACTTTAACATGTTTGACCCATCTCAAACCCATGAAAAAGTCACTTAAAATACAGTATTCCCGAATGTTGAATACTTTTCATTTAAAATTAAGAAAAATATCTTGAAGTGGGGATAGCGTGATTTGGGAGGACAAACTGTGTGTGCCCTACACCCTCAAAGGATCTTCCCCCTTGCTTCTTACGTCATGAGCCCATGTATGTATACCCAGGGCGGAAGAAGATCTGTAAGCAGTTTGATTTAAGTCCAACAGACTCGAATTTCCTGGTGCAATTCACAGCAAGAGAACGCACATGATTTTGCATTCCCCGTGCTGTGTAGTCACACACTTAGTCACACAACAGAGGATTCAGATGACATCATATGAAATCATAGTCCATTAGGATTCCAGGCATTATCTTGAATAGCATGTTGGCTATCACGACAAAGCAGGGAAAAAGAGCTCTTACAAGTTTAAAAAACAAAAAAAGGTTTCTATTCCTTTAAAGCCCCAGATCAACAAGAGTCAATTTTGCAAATTTACTGAGGGGTGGGGCATGTGGGAAATACCTGAAAGTGATTCTCAGACCACAGTGAACCAATTCTGTTGCTCCTACCATGCAAGATTCAGTATCAACACTTTGGTTTTCTCCATACAGACTATTGCCCATGGCATTTTCAATGACATTTTTCAGAGCCAGTAAACAGCCAGCCGTCATATGAAATAAACGTCTAAAGGGAATAAAGTCAGCTGAACAGGACTGACTGAGTTGGTCACACTAGTGTTCCTTATAATTTCAGTTTTGTATATTTATGGAGTTTCTGGGTCTCTCGCATCAACAACATGACATTTTATGTAGACTTTAAAATTGCTGCATTATTTACTTTAATCTCCCTTCCCACCCTAAATGACTAGGTGCTGAAGTGTGTGTGTGTGTGTGTGGGGGGTTATTCATTGTTGGGTTATTCATTGCTTAGGGATGGTCAGATGATCATTATCGCTGTACTGCTCACAAAAACGAGCTGTGGTATGATGTACAGTCTAGGGAAAGACAGAAAATATTCTTTCTCTCCAGCAGCCCATCTACTGGACATCAAAAATACAAAAGAAGAAACACAACAACACTTCCAATACCAATCAGAATTGAAAAAAGAAGCACATACAACCTGAAGAAGCCCTGTCCAAATGTTTTGCCTTTTATTAATAGCAACTGTTGAAAGTAACTAGAATACATTGCTTTGTTTCCCTGGAATAGTAATTTGGAACTATTTCTTATACATTATTGTTTTTGAAACTAAGCTAGTTCCACCCTCAGTCTCACAAAATTACATACCAGCTATGCCCATGCTTTGGAAAACTCACACTGCACGGACTAAATTTGTAAAATTACCTTGGTATCAGGCCAAGGAAAAGCAAAGGAACAAGGTAAAATGGTTGAGATTAAAGGGTTAAAAAGGTGGTAGCAGATGAAGTCAAGCTGTACCGTTGAAGTGAGTCAAACACAATACCAAATTAGTATTTGGCGAAGTGCTTGTCTCATTGTTAACATATTTCCTTTTAATATGTTTTCAGAAACTAGCAGTAACTATTAAATAGCACAGAAAGATTGCCAGCTCTGATTCCAGGAAGGAAACCCCCACCCAGTTCCCCTCTGAGTAATTCAAATTTTGCTAGTGAAGCTTTCAAAACCAGACTGAGGTAGAATTCCATATTGGGTAAGGAGCCTAGTAGGAGTATTTGGGGGGAAACAAACAAACAAACAAACAAAACAACCTTAAGACACTTATTCTGAGAATTCTGAATCAGACAATCAGAAGTTAAAACTCTGTCTCTGTGGGATAGGCAGGTGATACTTACTGATATATATCATTGTGCTGGTCTTCAAGTGTAATAAAGTATTACACTGCACTAAAATTATCTTTGGAACTCAATAAATTCTGAACAATTTGTTCAAGATCTCTATCCCTCCTTATTCAATTTAAAATAATTAGTAACTGAATTCATTTGAATTGAAAACAGTTTAATTCAGTTTGAAGAGTCCCAAGTAATTAAGGTTTGACTGGAGTAGTAAAAATGTGTTCTTCAGTCTTGTGGTTTCTGTCTTTTTAAAAGTTGAAACCTGTACAAATTATAGATTTTACATGTGCCCGCTTTTACCCCATAGAATGGCAAATATCTATATTGAATTGCGTGTCTCCCAAAAGTACTGTGCCATACATCAAAGGGGTCACGGACCACATGGGAAAACTTTTGAAAAAACACAACCTACAAACAGTACTCAAGCCCACCACAAAAATACAACTAATGTTATGGTCAGCAAAGGACAGAAGGGACCCCCTCACCACTGCAGGAGTATACCGGATACCTTGCAGTTGTGGCCAGGTATATATTGGAACCACAAAACGAAGCATCCACACCAGTATCAAAGAACATGAGAGACACTGCAGACTAAAACAACCAGAAAAATCAGCAGTAGCTGAACATGCCCTAAAACAAACTGGACATGAAATTCTGTTTTAAAATACTGAAATACTGGACAATATCAGCAATCATTATGTCAGACTGCACAGGGAAGCAATTGAAATCCACAAGCACCAGCAGAACTTCAAAAAAAGAGAGGAAAGTGTGAAGCTCAACAAAACTTGGCTCCCAGCTCTCAAAAATACAGCGTGCAAAAGGTCAGTGAACTCCACCCAGCCACAAGGACGGGATAACTACGTACAAAAGACCAGCTAATGACACCCATCAACCACAGTGACAGATAACCTCCTTAGCACAACAATACACCCTAATCACCCATCTACAGAAAAAGACAAAAGCCTATCTCACAGCCATAAATATTGCACTCCCATAGCCAATTACACCAGAGCAGAGTGCTGTCCTCTGAAGATGCTGGCCACAGAGATTGGCAAAATGTTAGGAAGAACAACCTTCAGACACACGGCCAAAGAGCCCGAAAAACCCACAACAACCATTAGATCCCAGCCCTGATCCCAGCCCTGAAAGCCTTCGCGAATATATAGTACTGTAGCTCTTTGTGGCAATTTTTGGTGGTAAAGACACAACAAACATGGTGTGTGTATACAGCTACTTTGTGAGCTACGGGATGCACTGCTAAATCTTCTAAGTGGGAAGCAGCCCTTGGTTTCCGCTCTTGCTTCTTCCTCTCCTCTTTCTTCAATTAAATAAATCAAGCCTATGAGCCTGGTATGATATGGGAAAGTCCCTGCCAAAATAAACTCTAGGTTTCAAAAAACAGGAGGTGAAGAAAGTTAGCTGGATGAATCTGGTTGCCAGATTCAAAACCAGGGGACATTCATATGCCTTTTAATCTCTCAGTGTGACAGAAGATAAGGTAGCTACAATGTGCCTACAGCTGGTTTCTTCCACGTAACTTCGCTCATTCCACTGCCCGGATGTGTCACGAAGAAAGCAAGGGAGGAGAGTGGATAAGAGGGCTCAGACGGAACAAGGAGAAGTTGTGTTAGTCTGATCCCCTGCTGCACAAGGGAGAGTGAGGCTCAAACTAGACAACAGAGTTACTGTTTCATCAGAAGCAGTACTTTTAGAGTGAAAAGATATCTGTTTACCCAAGCACAAACTTGCCTCACTCATTTTGCAAATGAACTTCTTTTGTTCAGTGATTGGTCACTGGGAGGTAAACACGGGCTGTATTTGCAAGTCTGATTGTGCTCTGTATGAACTGGGTGCCTAAAGGGAAAATATAACAGTAGGATGTACACATTTCCCTTAACACATAGTTATGGCTGTTGTCTGATTCTAAATCTGTTGACCCTAGTGACACAATATTAAAAGAAAGTTAAGCATGTTGAGTGCCCCATAGTTCAGTGCAAGAGATCTAAGTGCATGCCTGACCATCCCACAAAAAGAAAAGAAAAGAAAAAAGACTATTTTGCAACCCAATCTTAAACATGCTTACTCAGAAGTAGATCTCTCTGAACAAAATATCACAGTGCTGAGATGTTTATTTGTTATGGTACTTAGGGAACAGTTTTCTTTAAACTCACACAAGCTCCTATTAAAGTGTTAAATGCACATGCTTTTAAACATCTAGAAATCTGGTAGCTCCTGGCATGCTCTCTTGCAGCTGCTCTGGCGGGCAAAGAAAAGATCTGTGATTTGGAAAAATCAGTCTTTGGGGCTTGTTGAAATTCCATCCCTTTAATTTTACTTATAGAATGGTGCTTGAACACCTGGGGGGGGGAACACACAGAGTAGCCAGAGGTCAAGAAAACTCCTCTCCCTTTTTCTAAGGGCTATTGTGCAATGAACAATTTTCTGAGGGCCGTTGTGGAATCTCAGAGGTGAAAGAGACCACAGGAACCATCTGGTAGTTCTTCCTCTGAAGAAGAGCGCCTCAAACATAAGCTCAGCATTAGGCTGTGTTTTCCTTGGAAGCCTCCAGGAAAGGAGATTCTGGTACTTCACTCAACAGTACATTCCGCAGCAGAACATACACTCATGGATATGTCTGTCATGTTTGATCTAAACATAACCTGGTCTGGATCCAGACAGAAACGTTAGAACAGGGGAGCTGGAGTGACAAGGGAGCATCACAGTGAAGTGGAAATTCGCGAACCAATCTGCCCTCCCCTTCCTCCAAGAGATCCCTCCACTGAATCACATATGAGATTTGGAGTGGGGGAGCAGCATTTGATGCTCTACTTCATGCAGCAATATGCCATGGGTCAGGATAGACCTGAATGGCTTTGGGCTTTATATAAGGAACAGAATCTCAAAACAGACTTGAGAATCTACTGAAAGTCAACAGAAAGTCTGAATGATTTGGGCAAGTCCTTTTTGTCAAAGGGTTAAATATCAAATGCCTCAGATCAGTGATTTCTACCTTGAGTCACCCAGATGTTCCCGGACTACAACTCCCAGAAACTCCAGCCAGCACTGGCGGTGGTGAAGGCTTCTGGGAATTGCAGTCCAAGAACAACTGGGTTACCAAACGTTTGGAGCCACTGCCTCAGACAAAATGGTTCCTTCTAAAGGAGAGAATGATCAAGGCTCAAACATTACCATCCTCTGACCTTCTGAATGATCAGCCCTTCCTGTTCATAATTTCCTTCCATGAAAAGCATTAGCCACAACTAAACAACAAAATAAACGCACTGGCTCCCCTCTTCCCCCCTCACTACCTGTAGCTCTGCCTCCCCCAAAGCAGTTTAGGAAGACTCTTTGGCCACAGGCCCAGAGAAACCTGGAATGTCCTTGCTTTGATGGCTTTCCCACTGCCAAGGAACTCCTTCCCCTTGGAAGAAGGCCAAATTCTACTCCTGATGATTTTTAACAAAAGTTGTAAAAGGCCTTGATTTGGTCTGGCTATGAAGCTGAGCAGCCGCTGAAAAGCAAAGGACCAAAAGCAATTTAAAAAAAATGAAACAATGCTGAGGTAACTACTGTTCCTCAATTGAAATAAATCTGTTTATTAGAACAGACTCAGTGACCTTCAGTTCTTTGCCAAACGGATATATAAACAATACAGAAAGTTTCTTGCTAATCCCATGAGCCAATGAGGGGGAGATTGACGAAAATCCTTTGTATGTGTGTCCAGGTTTAAAAAAGTTATGTCATGGCTAATGCAAATCTGGTAGTTCCTCATATATGAAGCCTGAGTCTGTTTCATCTTATCTTCTTTCTTTCTTTCCTTCTTTCTTTCTTTAAAAGTTTACTAATCTAGCACTACGAGAGTCAGGCACTCAAAGAAAAGAAAAAAGAAGAAATCAACAGAGTGATAGAGTGAGAGGAGAAAATTTTAGGGTAGCTTTGTTCTACCTGTGCCTCCTACAGATTGGGAAAGCCAGAGCAGAGCCACCTTAAGAAGCTGGAAACAAGGCAAGTGAAAACTTCCTCCTGTCTCTTTGCCCATTCTGCACTTTGCCTAGCTGGCCTAGTACTAAGACAGCAAACCAAAGGAAGGGAAGGGAAGAAGGGAAGGGAAGGGAAATGAAGAAAGAAAGAAAGAAAGAAAGAAAGAAAGAAAGAAAGAAAGAAAATGGAAAGAGAAGAAGGAAACAGGAAGAGGCTGATTTCCTCCACTCTCTCTGCTGACTCTTTTGTGGTCAGCTAAAGTGAATGAATTCAGGGAAACCCACCTTTCTGGGTGCAACTTCGCAGCCGATCCATTCACATGGATCAAGATCTTGGGTACCAGATCACATGTAAGGGTTGCTTCAGACACCCCCTTTGTCTGGCCTATGTCAGGTTGGTTCATGTCTACGATGGTCAACCCCATCCTACTTCTCAATCACATCTCAGTTTTGCTCCCACAGGTACAAACAGGACTCTTTCCTCTGTCTCTGCATACTGTGAATTAGATCACTCCTTTATCCCAGAAAGGGCTTACAAGCCACATCATGTGCAAATCGTCATTATCTATATTCATTTAGGTTGACTGGATAGCTCATTGAATTACGGATCTGGCTGTGGAGCCAGAGGTTGGGAGTTTGATTCCCCCTCTTTGTGTCCCAGGAAAAAGAGCCAGCCTGTTGCCTGAGGCAAGTCCCACCGTTCCAGGGGCACCCTGAGGAGCAAGGCACAGTGAACCACTTCTTATCACTGCATACCTAGAAAATGCTGGAAAGGATTGCCAAAAGCTGCAATCAATTTGAAGGCACGTATTTATCATTATATTCTTCCATGCTTTGACCAGGACTTCCTTGGAATGATTACATGCCACTTCACTGCTTTTATTTTAGCTGCTGAATCCAATACTCTCTTTAAAAGACAAATATTTTCTAAGAAAAAGACAGATATATTGCTAACCGTCTGCTGACTAGTTCATCTAGGCTTCTGGCCTGAATATGTTGTCAAAAAACACAGAAGCCTCTCTGTAAAAGGAAATATATATTCTGTAAAAGGAAATCTATCTATCTATCTATCTATCTATCTATCTATCTATCTATCTATCTATCTATCTATCTATCTATCTATCTATCTATCTATCTATCTATCCTATCTATCTATCTATCTATCTATCTATCTATCTATCTATCTATCTATCTAAAAACTAAAAACCCATATTGCCTCAAAAATCAATAATCTTCAGGTGCTCCTTTCAAATAGTGGCAGTTATTGCTCATTTTCCAAGTGAGATGTAATCCCCTTTTTGTTTTATTTGGATTGTATTAGTCCTGGGAACTTGCCAAAAGAGGGTGGTGGTATTAAAAAAAACAACTAAAAAACCCATATTGCCTCAAAAATTAATAATCTTCAGGTGCTCCTTTCAAATGGCGGCAGTTCGGTAACCAATAGTTATTGCTCATTTTCCAAGTGAGATGTAATCCCCTTTTTGTTTTATTTGGATTGTATGAGTCCTGGGAACTTGCCAAAAGAGGGTGGTGGTATTAAAAAAACCCCACAGAGTATGTAAAATACGGGTTTATGCTGGAATTCTCACACAGCCTCTAAAGCGATAAAGGAGTTGATTGGTGCATAAGCAGTCTGACTTGCATCAGCTAGATAAAATAGGGATGTACCAATTGATTGGGCTAACTGATCTATTGACTGAGTTAAAATCCTAACCACTGGCTTCGCAAGTTTACAGGTTCAACCATTTTTTGCCTGACACAAAATAAGAACTTGTTTGAACTTAGCCAAGCAATTTATACACATGACAGAGATGGAGTTTATGGAGTTTAGAATTAGTGTGGCTTATAGTTTAGATAGGTTTCCTTTTCCATTCTTTAATATTTTGTAACCTCGGAATCGGTAGGTGTGTTAGATTTAAGATAGGCTAGTCAATAAATGATTTTCATACCTACATCTGCTCTAAGTCAACAAAGAGGCCATAGGCAAAGAAAAGATCTCCAGAGGCCAGGTTGCTTGTGTGCAGAGGGAGGAAAGAATGTAATTTGATACCTTAGCTTTCTTTGTCTCAAGCTGATTCTGCAAATGCTTCTTCCCAGTTTGCTTTCAAGAATAATAAATATCACATCTGGCCCGTTTAATTTGCTATGATCTGCCTTCTCATCTACCTCCACATTTTATACCATCTTTGCCCAATATTGAGTTTGGTGAGCTCTAAAGTTCACCTAGTTTGTAACTTTTTAGTGATTCAATGAAGTTATTAGTTAACTCAAAATGTTATTTCTAGAACTGCATCATACACCTACCTTTTTTCTATTTTTATTGTATTTTGTTTGTGACATAGCTTGCCTGACCTTTGTAAATTATCCCTTTTACACACACACCCGTTCTGCTTGCCTTTTCTGACTGTAAATAAACCTCCTTTGATGGCAGATTTGGCTTCATCTGTGGTCAGTGTTCTACACCTCAAGGAACGTCCTCTCACACCTTAGGTTTTTCTCTCAGAGCAGAGAAGGGGAGGACAAGCCTCAAGGAGATGAGGGAGATTTTCAGCTGGCACAATGTGGGTCCCACCTGCTGACTTCTGTCTAAGCGTGATTGAGAGGAGTCAGAAAATGTTTCTGACAGAGCTGTAAGCGAGCTCTGAGTCAGCTATGGTCCTGATCCAATTCAGTTCTTTTATTTTGATTCTTCAAATAATTATATCTCACCAAATCATTCTGTGGTCATCTATGGTGAAATTAGGCTCACCACTAGAGATGGACACAAATTCAAAAACAAATCACCAAATGTGTTTTTAAAAAATCACCAATTTGTTGATTCGGATTCATTTGGATCGATGCTCTTGATGAATATGAATCAATGGGTTTTTAGCGATTTTGAATTCATCAATTCATTGGGCTACAAAATGGCCCCCAAGCACTTAGAGACACCAAAGCTGGTGAAGGCTGGGTTTTGGATGTCCAAGTTGTATACCCCCCTGAGGCATCTAGAGACATCAAAAACAAGCTTCCCATAACTCTCCTCTATAAGCCTTCCAAGTTTGGTGAAGATTTTCTGAAGGAGAGCTTCAAAGAATTGCTTTCCAGAGACTAATTCTTCCAAGATCCATAACCTCACCCAGCCAGTATCAGTATTCTGAATAGGGGATTAAGGGACGTCTGCTTCAAAAAGTAACTTTGTGCAACCCTTTTCCAATTTCTCATGACTCAGATAAAATCCATACTTACGGAATGTCTGTTTTCTCCAGCATCTGAAAATCATAAAATACACCAATAATTCAGAAAGGCAGTTTAGAAACCAAAACAAATATTATTAAACATTCACCAAAATTATAAGTTTAGGATAGAAATGTGTACATGGATCTACAAATAACAGATTCAAGATCCATTTGAGTGCCAATAAGAATTTAATAATTTCATGCAGTGTGTTTATCTGAAAGATCTAGTTAAAATTTTCCTATGACCTCAGGCTAAAGGTAAATTTCTTACCATATAACTTATTGCTGCTATTCATAAACCTATTTAATTATTTTAAGTGAAACATAAAGTCTTAATATTCTGACTTGTAGCAACCCTTTTCAGGGTTTTCTAAAGAGAGAGAGAGAGAATACTCAGAGGTGGTTTACTTTCCCTTCTTTTGTGGGTGCCCTGGGATTGAGCAGCTTGCCCAAGGCTACACAGGCTGGCTCTTCTCCCAGGAGGCTTCCAACTTCTGGTTCCATCACTAGACACCTAAACCACTCAGCTATCCATCTGGTGCAGTATTCATTCATTCATTCATTCATTCATTCATTCATTCATTCATTCATTCATTCATTCATTCATTCATCCAGTTCATACCCCACCTATCTAGGCGGCTTACAATATATAGGATTACTTTTTAAAATAATTTAAAAACAATTGACTACAGAAAATCAGCAATATTTTAGCCAGAAGTGTCTTCATTTGAGTGACCAATATATTTAGAAACCTTAATATCAATGGGAAACTTTGGGAAATGATGAGTGGCAGAAGTACTCATAAAAGCAGTTGCATGACATTTCTGCACATATGCATTAAGCAAAGCCAATACAATAGCTAGCAGCTACTGTGGCATCCTAAGTGATGCAAACAGGGCTAAACTGGATAGTTCCATCCTAACCTCTAGAATTAAGGAGTTCTGCGTCTTTTCAGTGCCTCAATGTACAGTCCCACCCTCATAAGGGTTCAGCATGGGTTAAATTAGAGTCTACAGTTCTCATGATATATATTCCAACACTGTCAACAAATTACAATTCTTGGGGAGAAATTACCATAGACACGGTCCAAACTCCAGTAGTAAGACACAACTAAAAGTTGAACTATTGAATTAGCAGGTATTTGCTGAGTCAACTCATCTGTAAGTCCCACTGATTCAATGGTCCTACTGTACTCTAATTGCTACTTACTGCTATATTTTGACATGATGTCACTGTTATGTTTATATTCACCCATTTTCTTATAGTGATTTTACCCTAGCATTGGGTTGACATAATCCGTTAAAAGAATTATGATTAAAAATGTAAATATGAATACACCCCATGATGTAACAAAATTATGATTAAAAATGTAAATATGAATACTGTATGAATATATATTCTTAGACTCTAGTCTTCTCCCTCTTTCAAAACACAAACCAAATATTGTACAGCCAGCTCTTGTGAAAATTTCCAGTGCCACTTAAGTCCTCTTCCCACCCCCACGCCCCATGATGTAACACGGACATGGCATGGAGAATGGTATGAGAAGAGGTAGTGAGGGAGGACCGTAGCAAAGAGTAGCAAGTGTGCAGATCATGTGTACAGATAGCTGTGGAAGAAGGAACAACACATACAGGCCCAGTGCACGGCCCTCAGTGGACAAAAGAATGGAAATGAAGAGGGACATTTGAAGTTACAGAGAAGCTGGCAGGTAAGAAACAAGAGCCAGCACTCTGAGTTCCCCTACAAACAAGGATGCCTCCTAAATTTGGGGCAAACGGCTGCAGATCCCAGTTGCTAGAGACTATCCCTAGCAAAACAGAGGGATGGTCTCTTGATATAAAGCTAGAAGAGGGAAACAATGTGTAGAAAGTGACTCAATGCCTTTATCTGGACTGACAGGATCAAGATAAAATACGCAGAATGTTTGTGGCTGTTGAAATAGATATAGCTGAGAACAGCCATTCCCTTCAGCATCAAAGAACCCTTTGAAATAAACAGATCTGAAATAAATTCCAAAAGTCACATTTAGGATGCTAAGTATTGTGCTACCAGGAAGAAGGAAATTATAAATTTTATATAATTCCAAACCTTCAAATGAAGGGAGATGCTTGTTAATTATACTGTAGACACAGGAATGGGGACGGGAGGGGGGGCTGACTGGGGAAAAGCAACGGATATCCCATGTCTTTGTTGCTCTAAATCAAAAAGTCGAGGTGGCTACCACTGTGTTATGACTGAAGTCGAATCTGATCTGTATCTGTAACATATTCTTCAGATATTCTCAGACACTGATAAAGTGATACAGCCTGGACCCATAAGTGGGAACAGGTCAGGGTTCCTCATGAAGAGGCGGAGAAGCGCCGGCAGCTCGGATTGAAGCCCCGACCTTCTTATTGGGGAGAAACGGAAGCTAAGGAGTGGAGGAGAAAGCTTCGCGAGGAAAGAGAGGCGGTCGCCAGAGAACTTGAGAAAAAGAAACAATGGCATATCGCCGAGCTGAGGAAGCTGGGGGGTTACCCGGCCCTTGGGGTACAGATGGAAGAGAGGGGTCCTCCTGGGACGGCTGGAGTGGGGACGAGGAGACCTTACCCCTGATCTCCTTGGATGAAGATTTAGACCCTGGACTGGGCCCTGTGCCGCCTTCAACAGGTCCCTGGAATCCAGAGACGACGAACCCTTTTGTACATAGTTTATGTATGGACCCCTTTGAAACCGAGTCATGTTTTACAAAATTCTCTGAACCCCTTCGTGGGGGGCAACCCGGTTGATGTTAATGTAGAAATAAATACAACACCTTTAGATATACCTTCAATGCCTCGTCCGTTTATTGAGGAGAAAACAGCCCACCCCAACGAACCCTCACACCTACGTATGCTAAGCAATAGGATTTGAAGTAATAATTTAATGACTTCAAATTAATTTCTGAAACAAACATATATGTACATGTACATATGCATACATTTGATTTATACACTGCCCCTTTAGTGCAAGCACTGCTCTGAGCAGTTTTCAGATTAAAATCTAAAACCTCACAAGACCCCACACGTCTTTACAAAAAAAGCTTAAGACTATTGTTGGTCTATTGCCTTTTATCACAAATCCCACCAATTTCAGTGGCAGAGTGTTTGACTTTGTTTAAACCAAGAGGATTTCAATGCATTTATCTGTGGTGTTGTTGTAGATAAAGGATTAGAATTCAGAAACCTCGGGTTCAAATTCTTAATTGGCCATA